AATTAAAAACCATTTAAAACCTTTCTAAAAAAAATTTCCCCCCCCCCCCCGGAAAGTTAATCGATTTTTTGCCCCCCCCCCAGAAAGTTTTCTGCGGGCGCCCATGTCTTCCACCCGTCTCTAGCTCGTCCACTCTGTTATAGCTCTTCCAAACTGATCTATCTCTTCCACTCTGATGTAGCTCTTTAAACCTGATCTAGATCTTACACCAAGATCTAGATATTCTACCTAGGATGTAGATCAGTGGTGTGCAACCCGCGGCCAACGGGCCGCATGCGGCCTCTATCGGTTATGACTGTGGCCCAACCGATGACCGTAAACTGATGAGATCACGACTAGAAGCACTGGTGACGAATATAATAGCACAATTCTGTACACTCTATACAAACAGCCAAAAAATGTCCACTTACATCTCTACTGATAAATTGTAGAATGATACAAAACTAAATAAAACTATGCACTTTATGCTCATTCCCCAATGAAAGTAACATTGTCTTTGCATTGCCCGCACCTTTATATATTTATATATATATATATATATATATATATATATATATATATATATATATATATATATAAACATATGTTTGATATTAATATGAGTTTATATTATTTTTCTTTCTTTTTTTATATATATATATTTATCCAAGGGCGAAAATAATGCATAAAAAAGGTAAATAATTACAATTATATTTTTTTAATAAATTTGTATTTTTTTTCCAATTATGTAATTTTTATTATTTGTAGAAAAATATGCTTTAAAACTACTTTATTTAAGACAATATTTCATCGTCCCAAATAGTGAACTATTTCTTATAGTCTCTTTTACCCGAAGTCAAATTTAGGCTTTCTTGTTTGGGGGGAGGGGGGGTCTCTCCAAATCCCCTGTAAGCTTTTTTTTTTAACGATACATGTTTGAGAATCACTGAGATGCACTACTGTTTTTTTTATTTACATTGTCTTTGATTTACAGGTGATCGAAAAGATCGAAATGATCTATGCATCAGAAATGTAGACACAAGACATATTTAAGCTCAGACCTTCATAGTGAAGTTTTAAATTCGAATTTTAGAAAATGTAATCCTACAGATTATGGAAATGTGAATTGGATGTAAAAGTTTTAGCGGATATCAGATTAAGAGAAACATGATGCCCAGGTTGCACATTTCAAATGGCTACCAGCAACACTTAATTTTGACATGAGACACGAATAGCCAGATACTTGCACACATTGCATTAAACAACGATTCATCTTTCGTTGTTGTTTTTCTTTTGTCCTAATCAATCGAATTGACTTAAAACAAGAAATTAAAAATCTGTATTACGTCATTCCACGCACCTACCTCTAAACACCCCCCATCGCGTGGAAGCAACCCACAGGCTGAGAACCACTGCTCTAGGTCAAACAATACCCAGCCCTGCATCGTCAATTACATCTATCGGCGTCTGTTGCGTGGCCAGACCCACAGACTGAGAACCAC